CCTGGGGGAGGGGCTACTGCCCTTTGTGATGTCATGAAAGTAAAATCTCCAAACGACCTGTTTAAGCACACATTTTCTGAAAAGTGGAGCAGCCAAAATACGGAGAGGATGGACTTTTCTCATCATTGGGGGGTTTGTAGACAGACTATAGACACATATTAGTGTTAGAAAAACATGGTGAAGTGTATTCAGCATAATATGTGACCTTTAGAGACCACAAACAAAGCATAAAGAAGCATGCATTTATTAACAAAAGCAAAGCTCAAGACAAGTTGGACATTTAGATTTTTTTTGCTGCAACGGTCATTTTAATAGCTGCATCACGTTACAAAGAAAATCATCATCGTGTAGGAAAGTGTTTATACTTTCTCTGCGGGCTGTTTTTGTTGGAGACTTGAATTTCCGCTAAAAACGTTAAGTTCAGAGTCAGATATTAATGATGGAGCTACTGAAGAGTGTAAAGTCAAGGGATTTAATCCTGAGCTGTTTTCAAAAAGAGCAAAAGCACAGAAGAGCTGCTCAGTGACAGCTCTGTGCTGTGTGTGTGTGTGTGTGTGTGTGTGTGTGTGTGTGTGTGTGTGTGTGTGTGTGTGTGTGTGTGTGTGTGTGTGTGTGTGTGTGTGTGTGTGTGTGTGTGTGTGTGTGTGTTAAGCAGATGCCATTCTGCTGATCTCAGTCCACATCCATCCGTCTACAAACCCAGATCTCGGGGAGGGTGGCGGGGACGAGCCGTCCTCCCTCTGCAGGTCAGCTGCCTGCGTTCCAAACCATCTCGTCCCGTCTTGCAGGTCGTGCGGCGCCTGACGGGGAACATCTGCCCGTCTAAAAATCCACAAGCTGCCGCGGAGACAACACGGACAGTGGGTGTGTGTCTGTGTCGTCGACAGTGTTGAATGTTGCTGCGTCTCAACAAGTTTCAGATTTGATCTTTGAGGAATATAAAACGACGACACGAAAGAATGTGTCACCTAAGGCGGACAACGACAGCAAGGTTCATGTGCTTTATGCAACTCATATTTATAATCAATTCATATTTTTTAGAACATTTGTTTTATGCTTTTCTGAGCAAATCTACTTAAAATAATCCTTTAAAAAATCTGCAACACTTTGATTATGATAAGAGTAATCCAGACATGAAACTACAAATACAAAAGAATAAGAAGGGAAGTAGAATACATAAATAATAAATAATGATGATATGACAATGACAACATTTATCTATGGGAGGAGAACAAATATACTGTATATGTATTTGTAAAGATACAGGAACAATCTTAAAAAGTAAGAATAAAGGGAAGAAGAAGATAAAAATGTCTTCAAAATGTGAAAAATGTTTCTAAAAGTGTGAGGAATAAAAAGATAGTTTTAGGAGGAAATTTAGATATAGACACACCAAAATATAAAATAAAAAGACACAAAGAATCCCATAGGACAAAATAACGTGTTTTATTTTGAAAGTCCAAAAACAATCCAAAAGAATTCAGTGCAATTGAGAATAAAAATATTGGCATTTTTAAAGTTCTGTTTGGGGTCTTTTTTGCCTTCTTTGCTGAAGAGAGGGAGGAAATGTCTGGAGGAGAGAGAGAAGGAGGATGACATGCAGCAAAGGCCCGAGGTCGGATTCGAGGACTACAGCCTCTGAACATGGCATGCACGTCATAACCGCTAGGCCATCGGCTCCCCCAAAGATAGACATTTCTGCACGTCAATGAGTGCAGATTGGATAACAAAATAAGGATTAAGAACGAGGTATTGCAGGTTATAGATTTATACGTGTAGGAGCCATGATGTGTTTTTTTTACCTCCCTTTCATTATTTGTTATGTTTGGCTCCTTTTATGAATTTAATATCATTTCCTGTCATTTGCAGTGGTCGTGGTTTACCTTCTTTTTACCTGAGCATGTGAGGCGAGAGGCTCGACAAACAGAGGGAGTGAGTTTGAATATTTTCTGTTGATCATCATACTCGTCCTCATCTTTTGGACTTTTTGTTGAGAATAATTTTTTCACTCTTCTGTTTAATAAATCAACAAACACATCCGGACATTTAATTTGATTTCAAATAACCGAGTCACACGGGTACAGGCCGCCACTTAGTCTCTGTGCGGCGTTCTCCCATCTAAGTCGCCACAGTAATACAATTTAAAAATGCATCACAAAGATTTAAAAAAATGCAGAAATCAAAACCTCAAAAATAATCCAAAGTTTCTTCTCATTTGAACTTTTTCTGTGCATGGATTTAAAAATATAGATCTTTTTAGTTTAGAGTTTTTAATGAATTTTCTGTACGTGGTTACCTCTGTCAGTTAAAAAAAGAGAAAAAGTCATTTATACATAAAATATATTCAAACCTCTCACACTAAAGAAATACCTCCATGTGTTTGGGAGGAGAATTATAATAATGAAATGTTCATTATTATTCTGTCCTGAACTTTGCTGTTTTTCCATCCTGGATGTAAAATATGGATTTCTAACTTGTGAAGTGAATCTTTGACAGAAGGAGCACTTTAACCTCCATCCACTGTTTCCTGATGGACAAATCATCGTTTGTGTTTCCACTAAATGTTTCTCAGAAATGAGCTCTCAGGGCGTGTTTGCAGCGGCTGAACAAAGGCGAGCTTGGAGAGGTTGAAGGGTTGCAGGACTGTGAGGAGAAAGAGCGGCTCGTTACGCCTCAAACTGAGAGACGTTGGCGGAGACTCGAGGAGCACAGGGGGGTTTAAAGGTTGAGCCGAAATCCAGAAAACGTTTGACTCTCCTGCACGAGTACAGTCAGAATGTGTGAGGCTTTAATGGTCAAACATATGCATATTCTCTGCCCCGGTCCTCCTGCTTTGATGGAAAACATTCAGTATGAGCTATCACACCCACAGACGAGGAGGAGGGGGAGAGTGAGGGGGGGGCGGCACAACAGAAGTTAGGGGTTTTCGCCACGGTACCGAACAGTTATTTTATTGACGTGGGAAGACACGGGAAACGAGCTGCTTTCACTCTTGCATGTCGAGTCCTTCTGTTGGCGCACGAATCCAAAACAATTTCAACATTTTGAGAAATACGGGGGCAGCTGGCGTTCCCACAGCCGCGCCGGAATTAGCCGCTTACGCGCTGCAACCCTATCTGCTCTGCACCTGGGCGTGCGAGCGGGGCTGCCCTGCACCTTTGACTCAGGCCACCGCTGCAGAATGTGTGTGTGTGTGTGTGTGTGTGTGTGTGTGTGTGTGTGTGTGTGTGTGTGTGTGTGTGTGTGTGTGTGTGTGTGTGTGTGTGTGTGTGTGTGTGTGTGTGTGTGTGTGTGTGTGTGTGTGTGTGTGAGAGAGGGAGGGTGTACAGTACGAGTGAGTCAGTGCTAGAGGAAACTGTGAGTGTCTGAAACGCCTTCCTGCATGTTTGGAATTCTCCGTGCATGAGCTGGAAGTTTGTGTGAGTTCAGAACCATCAGGCTCCGACAGTCTGAGTTTAAAGTCTCAGAAGAAAAGATCGATCACGTCGCTACACGAGAGCACCTCGCAAACAATATCACAAAATGATGGCGATTTATCAGGGACACCAAATCAGCAGAAGTAGCTCTTAAAGCAAAGAGAAAGCTCTCAAATAAAATAAGGCGAGAGGCAGAAACAGGAGGTGTAATGTTTGACACATCTGTGCTCACTCAAATGTTCTTTTAAAGTCGACCTCAGCTCTCTTGAAATCTCCTTATATCTGTTTGTAGCTCAAACATGGAAAAGTAGAACTTGAACGTCACCCTCGTTCTGAACATCCTCCCTCTCTCCTCTAACTAACTTCTCTTACATTGTGTCTTCTTTTTATTGTTTGGTTGTTGTTCTTTGTTCAGCGTCTTTGAGTCTTCAGAAATTAAATGAAATTATTATTATTGTCATTCTGAAATGTTCCGTCCTTTGTTCTCGAAGCACATTGAAGGTTTTTTTAAAGCGACACAAAAAACCTGATATTTGACGTCTTTAAATACTCCCATATTTGCTGGTTACATATAAATCTAAAATGTGTGACCTGACCTGCTCATTAAAAGTCTCAAACGACCTTTAACCTTCAGCCGCTCCGTCTGGATTATCCGATGTATTAAAGGAGTGCATGGACAAATATAAACTGACATTAGCTTAGCTTCTTTTGAGTCAAACTGTGATTCATATTTGTATTTATTTTGAAGAATAATTTAACCCACGTCACACAAAGCTTATTTATTGGCCTCTTCTTCTTCTCATTTAGATTTAAATGTAGCGTCCCCCACATGCTATAGCTTGCATTAAAGATGGCAAGCAAAATGTTAAATGTCTGTTTTAGTCGAACAGGATGCAAACACACACGTTTATATTTCACTGCAGGTTTAACTTCTGACTCTTGAAATCAAATGAATCCACTTTCTTTTAAAGTCTGTTGATCTGCTCGGCGTTCAGCTACACTTCCGCTCCATGAAACCTGCCTTAATGAACGTTTAACGAGCACGACTTCATTACGTCGGGTTTTGGTAGAGAGAGTTTGCATTGTTAATTCTGTTTCAGTGTCTTTTTGTCCAAACTGCCAAAACGACGACGTCTCTATGTGCAGGGAGACGTGTGTGTGTGTGTGTGTGTGTGTGTGTGTGTGTGAAAGGTTGGAGCCGTGCACGCCTGAACAGCGGTGAGGAGCGAACATGTTGTCGCCCGTGTTGAACATCTGACCTGGCTGGAAACCTGCGGCGAGCAGCACAGCTGAACAGGAGGCCGTCTGGATGGGAGAGGAAGGGGGGAGGGAGGGGGAGGCTTGGCTGTACATGCTTGGCTACTTGCCCCGGTCCCATTGACCAGACAGCTGAACTAGCTTGGGAGGGAGGGAGGGGGGGGGCGGGGGGATGGATGGAGCTCCTGTTTTTCATACATTACAGAATAATAATCTGCACACTAACAGTTATTTAACCTCCTTTTGTGTTCATCAGAGGAGAAGAAACGTGGTCACAAACATCAATAATGCACGCTGACACTCGTGCCAGCTCCACAGCCTGTTTGTCTTAACAGGAAACGGTGACCCTATTTAATCTTTTTTTTTTACATTTTGACTGATTAGTACAAAAATATGCATCGGAGCTAACCTTTATTATACCACTCATAAATAAACCAAGAGGTAAAGGCTGAGGTAGACCAGCAGCCCCGTTCTCTTTAAGATAAAAGGACCAAATCTGAGCCCTACTTTTACACATCTGAGGGTCTGAAATATCCACAGGTACAAAAATGAAAAGCTGAGGTGACCTTTTCTTCACCAAAGTCTGAAAACAATTTAAATAAACTGACCGTTCAAGGCTACGTTAGACCCACAGCTCCTATGCTCTACACGGTAAATGAGTGTTTATGTCAATGAGGTCAGGTTGTTTTATAAACCTGGGTCTCATTTTGATCTCAAAGTAGAAACTCTTGCACTTCAGCCGCTCCACAAATGGAGGTCTGCGTTCTCAGAGAAGGACTTTAGACGTTCAAAATGTAACCCGGTGTTTTCCTTCTCTCGAAGCAGAGTACAAAGAAAGGACTGAATCCCTGAAAGCAAATTTATTTTGGTGCGTTTTGACCCACTCCATTCCTGAGGTTTCCTGTTTATATTCTTTCCTCGTTGTGTCCTTAAAACATTTTTTGGATGGAATATTTTACAGCATTACATTCAATTTAAGAATATGAAATGAACACACAAAATAAAGAACACTGGAAAGTCAAAGATTCTGCTTAATGGACTCGTCCACCGATCCAAACCAGGTTTTAGCTTTTGAACAAACTCTTGTATCTTGTAACTTGTATTTATTGTGACAGGTCACTTATTTTAAGACAAACTAAGTTTATACACCCTATATGCTGATAGGTCAAAGGTCATTTAGAACACCTTTGTGTTGACGTCATTTCACCTGTAGGTGTTCACAGCATGATGTCGTGTTCATGTCGTCTCTTTTTTTCATCTTTTGGTGTGTCGCCTGATATTTGTCACTGTCTCTCTGCCTCGTCTCTGCAGGGGGATGCTGGTGGCCCCGCCCACCCGGGGCTGGTTCCAGCCAATCAGGTGCTAATGTGCGGGAACAGGAGAGGGCTGAGCTGACAGATGGCGGGCTGACCTGGAAAACCTGCCCCCTTTTCAGGGTTCAGCAGTCGGCAGATGACAGGTATTACTTCATAACCCAGAGACACACACACACACACACACACACACACACACACACACACACACACACACACACACACACCTCTTCCTTGTGTGTTTTTATCATTAAGTGTTGCTGAGTGACTTCCTGTTAAGTTTTGTTCACTTTTATCAGTATATTCTTCATTTTTAAACTCTGGAAACTTTGTTAAACTCACATGCACATCGTTCTTATTTCATCATGTGCAGTTTCTGGTTTGTAAAAAACCTGTGCAGATTTTCTGGGACAAACCATCGTGGTCATGCACATAAATTCATACACAAATGTGGATTCAAAGCCTTAAAGAACATCTGAAATCTTTCTCACACTCATCACATTAAAGCAAAATCTCGCCTTTACTGAACCTAAATGTTCATCTCCTACATTACCAACTTTTTTTTGTTTGTTTTAATTTGCAATTAATATCATTTTTTTGTGGGTTTAATTTAATTGCAGGCACAAAAAAAAATCTGGTCTGTTGAGGCTGCACATTCCCTGAATTCAAGCCCAGCAACACACACACACACACACACACACACACACACACACACACACACACACACACACACACACACACACACATCGTGCACACTGGTATGCCTGCTCACAGTACACATAATTTCACACTTATCCATCGACACACACACACATTTATCTGAGGCTCCAACCAGCCATGTAACTCCGATGTCAGGGCGAATCTGTCTGGCAGAAAGTGCTTTTTGATGAAGTCGTTCATAAATTTTAATACAACGTGTCAGCGAACATGATGTATAGACCGCCTGCTCATTCATATTTCAAAGAGGCTGCCGTCAAGCAAACAGCGGGGGGGTACCTTGCTCTACCTTAAAGTGCTGCGCGGTTACGGCTGTCAGAGTCTCGGCTGTGAGAGCAGAGAGACGCTGCGAGCGTTTCTGTTACACCTGATTTGAAGGAGCACGGTGATGTTACAGATCAGCTGCGCCACAGAGGAGCAGGAGAGACAGAGAGCTACCTGAATCATTGGATTCAAACTAGAGGGAAAAAAGAACAAGTTCAGAGTTGTCGTCTTACCTACACACTCGATTTGATTTAGCTAAAGCTGGAGGGTCTCCTGCGGTAAATCATGACGTCAAAAGAACGACGTGGAAGGAGCGGACAAAGCAACAGCAACAAAAAATTTAACGTCGTATTGTGGACTCTGTTGGGTCTTACCTCAGGAGATGCCCCGCCCCCCTACCGTCTGACAGTGTTAGACTCCAGCTGTGAGGGTGCATGTGTAAACACCCAGGTCAGGAGAATCTCTGGAGCGTCTGATCTCGAGATTTTCAGGAGTGCAGATGTGCAAGCGGCTCATGATTGTCATCTCCACCTACCTGCTCCGTCTTCAGGTGTGGAGAGGCTTTGGTTACACCTGCCGGTTTTTTAAACATCTTTCTTACAGTTTACCTGAAAAGATAAGATAACACTTTTGTACTTGACATTCCCCCCCCCCCCCCCCCCGGGGTAAGCGAGCTGCAGAGCCACTTTTGAACGCCGTGTGTATGAAAGATCTCAAACATTGAGTGTTAAAAAACTTTCGGGTCAAAAGGAGAAATGAAATCAAGAGGGGAAATATTCATGGGGCGATTCTGCGGTGAACAGCTGAGCTTCATATCGAATTCCTCTTCACATAACCCGCAGTGATTCTCGCCTCGCAGAGTCGAGGTGGCTCATATCTGATTTCCCCCGACCTAAAACGCTCGCCTTGTATGAAAATGAGACACATTACCGCTCCATTAATTGATCGGTCCGCTGCTTTGAAATGTGGACCTCCCTGAGAATCAGAAATTAGGGGGCCAATTAGGTGAGTCCTCGCCGTGTCTCCTCCGTCGCATCTCAATCAGTCCGGCTCGTCCACAGGTGAAATGCCAGACGCACCCGCCGAGCGCCGTCGTGAATGCTAAAGGCCGCCGGGTGCTAATGCTATTCATGTCCAAATCATGGCATGCATACAGCTCAGAGGGCAGAGGCTAATCGTCTCTCATTGTCTGCTTTAACTTTCATGATGTCCTCGTCTCAGAGCCTGATACCCTTCTTCTTCTTCTTCATCCCCGCAGCAGCACAGCATCTATGAAAAGCAAAGAAGAAGAGACGAGGAGGTAATCATCTCTGATCTATTCTTCTTTTCTGTTTGAGATTTTAAGATGTTAGTCTCACAACGTGTTGTATTCCCTGATGGGTCAGAAAAAAAAGCCCAAAGTTGAAAATCCAGCCGGAAAAAAAAGAGAATAGGTTACATACATATTACCCATCTTTAAATATCGCTGCAGTTTTATTGCAAACTAATGACATGCTGGTTTAGAAACGGGAGAAATAACCACAAATGATTTTTTATTTTTAGGGCTTTTTCCATCTTTATTGGAGAGAGGACAGTGGATAGAGTCAGAAATCAGGGAGAGGGAGAGAGAGGAGCCAGAGGTCGGATTCAAACCCGGGCCGCCCCCTTGGAGGTGTGCCGCCTCAGTACATGGTGTTTGTCAGTGAATGTGCAGAGGGCTGAGAACCTACACAGTCATATCTGAGCCGTGTAATCCGTCCGTCTGACCGCGTGTGTCCCGCCTCCATAAAGCGGCTTGTAATCCCGCGTTCAGCCAGCAGGAGCCTTAATTGAAATAATCCCTGCCGGTGCTGCACGGAGCCGCGGCTGCAGCCAGTTTCATGATGGGTCCAGTTTAACCCACTGTGTGACTCTGACCTTTCCCTCGCCGCTCGCTGGGACCATCTGAACCCGTCCCAGTAAGGACATCTGGTGGGATACTGGGGAGGTCGTTTGATCCGCCCGACTGCTCCCAGAGGCCTCTCACACCCTGACACGCTTACTGTACCAGACTGAGGGACAGAAATACAGTTTGATGTAACAGGAAGGAAGGAGGGAGATTTTTTTATTTTATTTATTTAACACTTCAACTGTGAAGTCCTAAATTTCAAATCATAAAGATGGAGCGAGGTTGATACTGAAGTGTGTGCAAAAGACAAATGAATCCAGGTAAGTCATGTCTTTATGTCATGCAAAACAACATGCAGACATAATGAATCTACAATAAGAATAATCAAATCCTTGAATTAACAGGTTAATCCTGGGGTAAGAAACATGTCCGACAGAGTAATCTAAATCAGCTCTTAAATGAAACTTTCAAATAAAAGCGTTGGGTCTGACACCTCCTCGCTCTCTATGAATGTTTTACATCTCTGCACATAAACTGTGAGACAGAAGAGAAACCTACACAGTGCCTGTTTTTTAAAAAAGATTTCAAACATAGCCGCAGTGTTGAAACAGCCGTGTTTATATACGCCATCACCTCAGAGTTATTATCCTGCGTGCTCCTCTCTAATGAACGTCTTTTATCTCTCTCTGTATTTAGAGATTCTGCGTCTGAATGGATCTGCTCGCCCTCCTTTTCCTGCCACTGTATCTCAAACAGCGCGTTAACATCTGCAGCCCATTTAGTGCTGCTGACACTGGGCTAATAACAGTGTGTGTGTGTGTGTGTGTGTGTGTGTGTGTGTGTGTGTGTGTGTGTGTGTGTGTGTGTGTGTGTGTGTGTGTGTGTTAGCGTGTAGCAGCCAACAAGCACAGCTGAAAGGTGTCACCGAGGCTCCTACGCCTCCTCTAACAGCTACTGATTCAGGGGGCGCTTGCTTTTTTTTCGTTTTTTCTTCTGTTTTTTTTTTTTTTGTGCGGCTTTAAAGGAACATTCCTCAGGAATTCTGCATTTGTTGGACATCCAGTTTCCTGTATTTATTGGTGAGTTTTTTGAGGAATCAGAAGGTGGCTGCCGCCACCGCAGACACCTGAGGGACTATTTTCTCTTAAAAAAGATGTGATGAGGCTGCAGATGGAGAGGAGGGGTGTGCGTTTACAACATCATTCCTCTCCTCTCTCTTCATTGTTATCCTTACATTTTGAATTATTGATCTTTTACAAACATTTTTCAAGGTATCTTAATTACTCGCAAAAGAAGCGGCGCCTTGGCTGGCGGACAACACAAATAAGTTAATTTGCATTTCTGTGTTGTGAGTGTTTTGGCAGGCGCCGCACCGGTCCAGATTGTAACCCCTATTTCTGCCTCCAAAAACCTGCCTTGGAGGAGCGTCCACGGAGGGATTAGGGATTTAGTGGGGAAGGTAAGTGTGACTACAAGCTTTGGCTCGCCATCTGCTCCCCAGCAGAGTTGAGGCCAACCTGTGCAGCCTGCAGCAAAGACCTGGGCACTGTGCTAACTCTGGTTGGAGCCAACCTGGCGCCCGCGGCCCCAATCACCAACAGTCTGCTGATTAGTTGTAAGAAGCACTCCATATGTAGCAAAGTTTTCTCCCTCCCTGTCTCCTTCCCTTCCTTCCTCTCTTCCTTGTGTATTCTCTCGCCGCATTAAATAAATATGGATGTATGGAGGGTTTCTTCCCCCTCCGGTTGTCTGGCAGGGTGAAAACGAGCCTCCTCTTCTCGCCTTTTCTCCCTCTCACCTCTGACAGAATCACCGCGCCAGAAAAAGAAGAAGAAGAAGAAGAAATCCTGGCTGTCCTCCTCTCTTCTTCTTCCCCTCCCTCGCTCTCGTTTGCCTGGCAGCGCCGGGAGACAGATGACAAGGGTTTGTGGCCGTCTGATCACCCCTGGGTGGGTATTTTCTAATTTATTTAACGGCAGCTTATTAAAGAAAAAACAAGATGAAGGGGAAGAAAAAAGGAGAGGAAGGATGCAGGTCTCTCGCCCCGGTGGCCACGGGAGTCGACCCAGCCAAGGAAGCACCAACGAAGAAGAAGAAGAGGCTGCACGGACTCCCTCGGTAGAAACCAGAGAAGATCAAACGACACCAGAGGAGGAAAAGAAAACACACAAGAAACATAATGCTCATTATTAAATTGCAGCCACTCCTGTTGCCAGGAACCTATTTCTCAGTATTAATTATTCATATTTTATTTCAGTAATCCAATACTCAGGTGAGAGCCGCTGCTCTTGATAAAACATGTAATTTCGAAGCTTAATGGCAGCCGGGCGGCCTCGGCGAGGGATTAGAAAGCGAGAATAAATCACTAATGGCTGCGGCGGCTTGAATCCGTCTTGCTTTGTGTTTACTTGTGTTTTATTGTTGCTCCGAGGGAAACACTCTGCCGTGACCTTTCTGCACAAGTTGAGACACAAGACAGAGAAGAAAAAGGAGGGGAGGAGATAAAAAATCACGCTTTCCAGGCAAAATGAGACGGCGTGATTTCCTGATTCGTCTAAACAAAGAGTTCATCAGCTGCCTCTCCTCCCCGACGATGGACGGCACACAGCAGAGCGGGCCTGACATGTTTTGCAAATGCACACGCGGCCTGATTCATACAAATTATGTTTTTCAAGAAGGAAAGCACCATCACTTACTTTTTGATCCGATTAGCCGGATTCTGCTCATTTTCCTCCTCCCTCTGTGTGAAATTCATCTCCTCTTCACACACAAACACCTCCGTTTGTCTGCAGCCAAACTTCTCCTCCATAATAACAACGAATGGGCCGGCAGGATCTTTGGTCAGGATTATAAACACGGTGTTAACTGTACAGCCTGGGGCGGTGTCTTTTTCTTATTTTATGCTCCAACATAAATGTCTCTGTCAGCTTCTCCTCCATCGCTCTTAGACGGGCTGACAGCACACGAGGCGTTCACTGCCTCTCTGGAAAAGAGAAACACAGGATTATGAGGGGCAGACATGTTGGATTTTGGTAACTGTATTATTGAGAGTAACATCTCTGAAGCAGAATCATGGCACAGCGGGAGCTGCACATACACACACAGGCAGACATGAACGCACACACAGCGCTGTGCTCTCCCACTGGCTCCGCTGAAACCATCTTGCCTCTGTAACAGCACTGTTACCACCTCAGAAGACGGTGCAGGAGGGGGGATCACTGCGACCCCCTATCACGCCTCTGCGACATTCAGATCGAAGGTGAAACATCACAGAAGAAGAAGAAATCCTGTCTGAAGAAATCTCTTCTTGTTTGCAAGAATTGTGACCATATGTCGGATTACCTGCTGTCCAGGTTTCCAAACCTGAGCGCCGCCACCGCTAAAAGAATGACCTGAAACCCTTAAACCCAGACCATTAAACCATTACTAACTGCAAAGTGGTGTATCGGTGTTACCGTCTTCTCCTCTGTGTTTCCTCTCTCTCTCTGTGCTGTAAAGCACTTTGGATCATCAGTTGTATTTTGTGGTTTTCTTTTTCGGGTAGCATCATCTAAAATCTTTTGAGGGCCAATGTATAGTGGTAATAATCTTAACCAAACTTAACCCGGTCAAATCATAAATCAGTTTATGTGTAGCTTACCTGAAGTCGATCACCTCCACCCTCAGTTCACCGTGAGCAACTTCAGGCATGATTAGACGAACGTTACTTTGGGTTATAATTCATTAAGATTTGCTAATATAAATGTAAAAGTGAAAAGAAAAGGAACTCATTTAATTTATTGTCCTTCTCAAACTGATTTATAAACAATAGAAGTCTTATTCTTTCTCACAGTAAACACCCCTCTGTAATCTCCTCCAATGGTATATTCCAACTCCCCTCCACTAGAAAGCCCATTGGATGCTTTCACTTCCTGTTTGACTGTTTGAAGTTTGGACACCTGGACAGGTAATGTGTACATGTGCTCACACTACAAACATTTGGGTTACAGTTCTCCCTCATAAATGAGTTTCAAGAGAACATGTAAACAATCAAGTTGAGTGTTTATTCATTAAAAATGTAAAGAAAGTAGAAGTGTTAGCAGGCTAGCATGCTACACCAACATGACTCCTATTACTTACAGATGCCTAGCTAAACAACTTAGCATCAAAACAGGTCTGCTACTGATCAATACGGAATAAATATTGACTGCAAGAATCATTGCCAGTTTTCAGTAATCCTTAGAGGTGCTTCAGGCAGTTTGGTTGGCTGGAGCTACTTATGCTAAGCTAGGCTAAAAAACTACTTGTTGTAGCTAATTATTTGCTGTACAGACTTGAGTGGTATCGATAAACAATTCTCGGTAATGCAGTGTATATGTTTGTATCTACCTCAATTTTAAAACATTTCCATTAATAATAATAAGTCCTTGGTTGCCAGGTTGAAACACGCTTTTATTCTTTAATATTAAGTCATTATTACGTTTTTAATGTTGTTCTGATGGTCCTTCAAAGAGTTTAAAATGCAGCTAAAAAAGCAGCTAAAATAGAATAGAGTCAGAATAGAGGACAAACACCAGCTAAAAGGGGGATTATTGCAGACCTGGCAACCAATTATTGTTCAAGTTTGAATGTGTCTTTATTCATAAAGCATGAAACACAGTACACCTGTTCAGTTTGTGTCCGTGTACAATCAGGTTAAAGATCTTGGTATTGTGCTGAGCTGGAGCCTTTTTACTTTGAGCCATCACTTTTCATGAAAACTTGATTATTATTCGGGGTCTTCTTGAGGAAAAGCCACAGGCTTTTCAGTGTCATGTCTGCTGTTTGCAAAGAGATGTTAAAATCATGCAGTGAAAGTATTTCTGCGCCGGATGAGTTTCTGAAAAAGTTCATGACCCAAATTGTGCAAGTCAAATGAAAGATTGAACATGACGTTGTGTTTATTTGAGTTCAGGATGTAAAGGAGAATCAAGTGTGACGCTCTTTCTCTTGGTTTAAAAAGCTACGCTGGATGTGAATCCTTCTTCATGTTTGTGATCGTGAAACAGCTGTAAACACATTGTTGTTTATACTGTAAGCTGTAAACTGCACTCATGATGAGGGGATTTTTGACACCTCACACTCCTGCAGGCCGCTCAACAAAAAAGACAATTATGTCCGAGAATATGCACACATCTTGCATGCTCTCTGGTCTCCTGCAATTTGGGCAAAAAAAAAAAAAAAAAAAGTAAAGGTCAGCCACGTTAGTCAGATTGCTCTCGACAAATTCTAAAAAGGCTCGCTGGTCACGCCGAATGTATTCCCTGCAACATAATTAGCCCCCTCTATTCCCTGTCGTGCCAGGCTACCGGGGGTCTCCAAAGCCCCACCCCTTCCCCCAAAATGCCTTTCACCTCTGCTTGTTCTCCCTCCCCTCTCCACCGCTCCATCACACATTGTTGCCCGCCTAAACTTGCTGCAGATGCGGTCGGCTGATGCATAAATTAGTCATCAACATTAGCATTAGCCGGCGCGTGGCACCCGGTGCCAACTGCTCTCCGAACGGCCATAAAAGGTCATGTTTTGATGACTGAATGCCACACAGGCACCTTGGCTCCCCGGAGGAGGGTTCCCCAGGTGCACGTGAAAGGTTAAAAATTACCTTCCTGCCGCCGCCTGTCTCTGGCGAAGGAAATAATTAGGGGGTTTTTAGGGAGCGGCAGAATGCCTCGCTGTCAGATGACAGAGCGTTACCTAATGGTCGTATCTGGGGAAGAGTCAACCGGCCTGTCATTCTCTTGACAGGACAAATGAGCATAATGGTGGCAGGGAAATGGGCGCCTGTTCCCCCCTTTTTTTTCCCATCCAGGGAGGTGGAGGACAGGGGGGGAAGAGAGGGGGGCAAAATGGCAGAGCCTGAGCAGAATAACACAGAGACGTTAACCTTTTACATAAATCTGTTAACACGTGTATGAGTGCTGTTTAAAACCGGCCTCTGAGGTGGGCTGAGCCGCTGCGACTGTTTTTATTCTTGCTTGTTTCTTTGTGAATTTATTTCTGCAAAAAATAAAAACTCTGACTATAAGCCACGTTTACCTTCCTATTTCAAGGAACTGCCCCATTTGCAGATTTCCTTTCTTACAAGTATTTCAGGCCTTGTTTTCTGCTTGTTATACCTCAAGGTCATGATGAACCTGATGAAGGCCACAAGCTGAAACACGTTGGTGTAATTTGTTAATAAAGTTGATCTTCATACTACAAGTGTTGCTGGAACTTTTTGACCTCTCCTTTAACTTTTCATGCACCTTGATAGTCGATGAAGTTGTGTCATCCCGCTCTGCTTCTTCAGTGCTTGGAAGAACATCAGGATCAAGATGTGTATGGGGACTTGTCAGGTCAATCTGGCGTATATTGTGTGTTATGAGAAGTTTTGGAGTAGCTAGGCTAATTAGCAGCACCTGTGAGCTCACCTTTAAACACCACAGGAGTCTGTCTGTCAGCAGGAGGTGAAACACCTGAGACAAACTCATCAGAAAGAAAAGAAATATGAATTTGATGTGACAAACTTTTGTATTCTTAAATACAGAAAATGACTTCTATGTTTTCATACCTTCCCAGAATGTCAGAGCCATGTGTGCCAAAACACAAGCAGCACTGACTGATATGCATCCCTTGATGTTCCTATTCGAACGTTAAATATGCTGTTTTATGTTTTCACAGTGGAAGGAGCTCGCTGTCATCACGTCCGTCTGCAGCGTCACACCAGACGTTCCGCCCATCCGTCGGCTTCCACCAATCGGAGTTGGTTTCGGTAAGAACCTTTGAGTCTAAGAAGTGTCTCTAGTCCGTCTACAAACCCCCCAATCATGAGAAAAGTCCATCCTCTCCGTCTTTTACCTGCTCCACTTTTCAGAAAATGTGTGCTCAAACAGGTTGTTTGGAGATTTTCCCTTCATGACATCACAAAGGGCAGTAGCACCTCCCCCAGGTGGGTGACACTCCCACAGCTAGGTGTTTGTTCTGCCCTCTGAGTCTGCCTTCTCACCGTAAACAATAGGACATGGAGAGAGAAAGACCGAGACTCCCGAGCCCTTCCAGAGAGGGGGCGTGGTCAGATACCGCTAATTTACATATTTAAAGGTACAGACACAGAAACAGCCTGTTCTGAGCAGGGCTGAAATAGAGGGGTTTATAGACATGATCAAATACAGGATCAGAGTGGATTTAGAATAAGAAACTTCACACACATGTTTTGGGGAGCTCTGAGACTTATTTACACTGATTGAAGAGGAGGAGAATATGTCACCTTTAATCCTTTTTACTCGAATATCGAGATTCAGACCTTCAGAATACTACTTAATACTCCTGTATGGAGGTTTACAGCTGTAGAAAGTGGTCTGGGGGTTTAGTTACTCCGAGCCTGAAGAGCCATTCATGAACTGAGCAGCTCAGCCCTCATCAGTACTTGAACTACCACACCTGAAGTTCTTTGATATATTGCGTTGGATATCAGAATCAGAAATGCTTAAATAATCCCCAGGGGGAAGTTTGGTATTCAATAAGCTGCTTCTTCTGACCTTAAATGTGATGATAATTTCCATGTTTAATCCAGGTTTTTGAATTGAATGGTCTGTATTTGCACTAATATAAAGAAGTTCGGGCTTCAGGTGAATCCTGGATCACACTCGGCTGTCTCTCTCGTCTCCACTATTCTGTGTTGAGTCTCATCTAAACTCGTCCTCACACCTCTGCTGCTCCTCCTCCGAGGTTTGTCTCCGGCTCTGAGGTGCAGTTTAACTCGCTGCTGCAGTGCAGTTTAATCCTCCGCGTTCTCCTGCTGCATGCTAACACAGGACTCATTAACATAACAAACTTAAATGCCCTATATAAATAATACGTTCACACAAACGCACAGCGGCTCAGCTGACACTGTTCAGGCAGCGCCTCCAACATCTGTTTATGAGCACTTTGCCTAATGATATCATCCGATATCATTAACTGTGGCAGTGTGTGCCTCAGCAGCAGGTGCAGCTGTTTACCCCCCCACCACACACACACACACACACACACACCTCCCCTGCACACACACACTTGAAGAGAAAGATTCACAGTCTCCTCCACCCAACGAATCGCCCAAACCGCTCATTAGGACAATTTTCCTCAACAAAAAAAGCAGCCCTATGATTTCAATCTGTATATCACCTGTAATTGTAGTTTTTAGCGAGCCCCTGATTCCATACATTTAGCGCGGGTAAACTGCGAGCGTTGGAAGCACGCCTCTCGCTGCGGCCGCCAGCTGCAGAGGCTGTTTTTAGATGGCAGCAGCTTTCCATGGGGAGGCTCTCTCCGGCCTCGGAGGGCTTGTTTTCCCAGCTTTGTTTCCTGACTCGCCGTGCTCTGTTTGGATGTTGGAAATGATAGAAAATTATTATTTCTGACAGAAAGAGACGAGGCCGCCTCCTCGTTCTGACCAGAAGGCCACGCTCGGGGTCGTCACAGGTTCTGGTTTTGATCGTTCACAGCTGTAATTATACAGATGTTGATTTCAGTGTTGTGCGACACACGGTGAACTTTGGCATTGGCGCTGCACCCGTAGCAATAACAGTATTTATAGATCCAAACAAACAATGCATACATTGACATGGCGACTGGATGCAGCTTCTGCTTCGTATCAAATGAGGAAGAAACTGGAGTGCAACCTGACTCTGATTTTTAAAGACTTGACTGATTTTTAAAGACTCTTTGCTATCAGCAGCCGCTGTGACGTCACTCAGTGATTTCTGGATGACTTTTTTTTTAATTTTCGATGTTACCCTCTTAGTTCCTTAGACGCAGCAGTGATCATATTTAGGAGAGAGAATGATGCTGCAAATGCTCGTTCATCATCTCGTGTTAAGTGCTAGCGCTAGCTCTGTTAGCAAGGGGCCTCTATTTCATTGTAACATATTACACGCGTTGATTTTGTGTGGTTTTGTGCGACTGGATGCAGAATAAGACGCGTTTGTTAGATTGTTTTAAATTGAGTTGTGTTGTAGCTCAATATCTTTGTACCGCACATTCATATAAAACATCCAACACATCAAGGAAGTGGCTGATGAGCAGCTGTGATGTCCTGCATGTTGAAAATGAAGTTTTTTAATGAGGCACTTGTTTCTAAAACCGTCGTTACCTTCTTTAAGTGGGTTGTTCTCTGAAATGGATACCGAGGTCAGGGCTCACATTTACAAACATAGAAGTACTCTTTAATGATCAGTATGCTTCAAACAGACAGTTAGAGATGTTTAAGTGTAAGCTAATGTCTTCATGTTACTTGTGTTGAGTATAATTATTGTTTGTTTCAGATACTTTAAACTGATATTATCACGTTCCTTCCTTCTCATGCATTTCTTCTTCTGTGAATCTTGAGTTTCTCGCCCTGACACTTCTGCCCAAAGTCGAGCATGTTGGCACCCAGAGGACCAGTTTTTCATTTGCAGGCAGAGACCTCGACTCTGAACCCGCTCTGAGCACCGAGGGCCGGCGGGGAACACACACACACACACATGGACCACACACACAGAGAATGATGTAGTTCTCATATCTGCTCTTGTTAAAACACATAACCGACAGATCACATCTATCTGAACGTGAGAAAACACACACGAGCACAACACACACACACACACACACTCCTCCTTCTCCTCCTTCCAGCTGTTCTCTAAATGTTGATTACACAAGACACCGGGGGGAGCCTCCTCCCTCCTCCCCGTCCTTCCCCCTTCTCGATCCGGTAGCCGGGCGGTTTTCCCCACCAGCAGCCTGAACAGGCCTGACTGACCCGAGGTGCTCGCTGACCCGGAGGTTGGGGGTCCAGAGAGGGCGGCGGCCTCGGGGGCCTCTTCTTCCCCCTCTTTTCCTCCATCCTCCCTCCGCTCTGTGAGCAGCACGTCTCAGGACGGGAGACACGGGCGGAGACAGCAACGGCCCCGGGACAACTGGCCCAGGAGCCGAACGGAAAAACAAAATAATTCCTTAAAACTGGTTGGCTCGGCTGTCGAGATGCTCGGGTAACTTTGTGTCAAGTGAAACGGAGACGGGGGAGAATTAAAAGTGAGATGATTTTTATCCGACGTGATTTTCTTCGGAGGAGCTGTGAACATTTTCAAGCTCGTATCCAGAAGGAGAATGAGCACATGAGGCAGCATGTGTAAAAGAGAAACAAGCGGAGGCTCACTTTAAAGGGTCGAGAGGGGATTCCAGTGTTTGAAAAACAAGGCATGGTTATCTTCCACACGGTTTTGGGTCTGAATTACTTCAAAGTTTTAGTATTGCTCCAGTGGATCACTTCAACCTGCAGCAGTGAAACAAGCTGGAATGGCTGCAATGTCATCAAAGAGCAGATGTTGCTGTGTCATGTCGTGTCATTACTGAATTTCCCTCTGGGATTAATAAAGTATTTCTGATTCTGATGACCAGCTTGAAAGGCCATGGTGAATAAAAGGAGAGACACCAAACTATCTCTTAATGAAGAAGTGGGGGGTAAGGTGGCAGCTTTTACAGTGGGTGCTTCACATTTGATAGGCGCGTTACCGGAACCGGCCGCATCCGTCCTCATATGGTTTGATTTGGAGGCGCATGTGAGGGGAGGAGTTTGAACAGTTTGTGTCCGGGGTGCGAGGAGTCTGCAGTGTTGCTACCCGCCCGTTACCTGACCCTGGACCGGTATAAGTCCTGGATGGGGGGGCGGGTCAACCTCCCCCCCAGTCCTGATTGTCCAAACCAGACTGTGACGGAGGTGAAGAGTTCTGCAGATTCAAATCACTGTTTGTGTCAATGTTTGGTGGCTCAGAAGAGAGTGATGTCACAGCTGTTTGTCTTCAGAAGAAATCGTCTCACGCTGTGAAAATTAGCCACTCTTTGTAGCGATCCTTTCCGTAACATGTTCAGACACAAATATTCTTTTTATGGATTTAGCTTCAGTGTCTTTGCGTGCACTCTCCCCAAAGGGGTTACATAACAGACTGTTTCACAGCTGCTGCTGTCTAAAATCTAAAAACTTTAAGAAACATTAGTCCAGATTGAAAAACACCTAAATAACCTTCTTAACTGATCATACCATGAAGAATAAATGCAGCTTAGATTCAAACTGTTCCACCTGATGAAGCCTCGCTTATCGGCGTTTTCACTCTTCCTCTTCTCCATATGTAAAGTTGTTCACTGAACATCTTGGCCCGATGGCATGACGGAGCTTAATTTTCACTCCACAAACCTCCTAATGGGCAAACTAAAGAGACGTGTGTGCTTCAGCCGCCCGAGGCAGGAGGCAGCAGAGCTACCGTTCAGCTAATGATCGACCTAACGCTGTTCTCAGAGTACAAGACGGAAGAGCGAGACATGGAGCACGGAGAGGAGCTGGGCCTGATTTATGCTGTTTTAAGCACATTATTGTGGTTTTAATAGCTTTACAGTGAACTAACCTCATTGAATAATCACAGCACAAAGAGGGAGAGGCGATATCGGAGGTAGGATTTATGCAGAACATTGATTATTTTTATTTAAATTCTTCTAACCCTTCTGCACCTCGCTCTTCATGCACACTTTATTTAAATGATCTGTGCGTCTGTTTATGTGTTTTACAAGATCTTTGGAGGCATGTTCAGACAGGGGACACGGCACGTTAATACGTGCCGTGTCCCCTGTCCAGATTGTCCTCTTTTTCACCAAAATGATGCTTTTGTTCGGGCGGATGACATGTCTCACATCTGCAGAAGTAACTATGGACTGATTCAAAGTCTGCTGCTGTTGGGCGAGCAATGACACATGTAATTGAAGCAGCAGTTATCGATAGCATTTCATTTTTACTCAAATCGTGTGAGGGAGAATGTTCTACTGCTGAAAGGTCAAAAGGTGAAAAAGTCAAAAACAGGAAGCTGAGCAGCAGGCGCATAAAAAAAAAGCCTCCTGGATAAGACGTCAGACGGACCTTTTCACTTGATTTCTTTGCTTTACACGTTTAAAAACCGTGTTTTCTGTCGACAGCATTAACATATTTATCCTTTCAGCATTCAGCCCCTTCATCAGCTGTCTGTTATTCTCAACTTCCTGCTGCTTAATGTATGCTCGCTGTGCGTTCGCACGACCTGTCTGAAGTGATTCCTGACGGCCTTGTTTAATTAGCCGCATGTGTGTGTACTTTTATACATATTCATCAGTGGCAGATTTCAGCCCCATTGATGTTCTAATTGATTCAGACGCTTTTATAATTCCTGCCAAAGAAGACGCAGAATCTCAATGACTTTGCAGTTTGGGGTTACAGGAGGAGAGGGAGGAGCGCTTTACACCTGAGGAGACGTTAGATTTCTGTCCTCTTCAAGAGGAAAAGAGGGAGAGAAGCTACTTTGTTGTTGCTCTTTCACCAGTAAATTACACATTTAGGATTTATTAAGACAAGAAACAACTTTCAAACCCGTGAAAGCCTCCGTGGAGACGTGCTCATTACTCTGTAGCCTCGGGCCGTTTTCCACGCCTTGAATGCATCCTCTTTTTTTTTTTTCCTCTCCTCTTCCCCTCTGTCTGTATTTTGCCGCGCAGCGTTGCCGTAATGTCACAGCGGTTTGTTCAAAGCTGCAACAACGATTTGGGCTCCCAGCAGGTGCCGCCATGATGTCTGTTCAATTATTAAAGTGAGGGCCACATGGATGCATTACAGCCGCCGCAGCCATTAGATAAAAAGACGACGCCTTCTGACATGCTGCATATTTCCTCTCCGCCTCACAAAGACACTCCGCCGCTGCAGCTCCTTTCTTCTTCTTTTTGTTTTATTCATCACCGTTCTTGTGATTTTTTTTTTTTTTTGCCATCTTCTTTTTAAATGCATGGAAATATTAAAGAGCCATTTGTTCCCTTTCAGCATTGTGGGCACAAGAGCTATCGTGATCTTTTTGATTCTCGCTCGTCAAACTCGAGGTCACGTCGTCTCTTCTCCTCTTTTAAGCACCCCCGTCGCCCCCAATCTAACCATGAAAACGGTCCTTGTGTTGATAAATAAATCATGCCTTGGATGCAGAGTTAGACCTCGACACCAGCGCTTCCAGCAGCCTCAGATGTCCACACTTTGATGACGCTGTAATGACCAATCGATGGCGTCGCGGCGCCCTTTTGTTGCTGCATCAAACCCACACTAAAAGACGAAAACCTATGAATTCTTTATCTGTTATTTCTTCCTCTTTCCTCATTCAAAACATCCCCTCAAAACTTAACTTCTCTGTGTCAGAGTCTGCTCGGCAGCAGAAAATGAAATGCAGGGTCAGATCCAGACGAGGAGACGTGTGTTTGTTAAGCAGAGCGGTTTGAGTCAGAACGTGTGTTTTCTGACAGATTCAGTGTGCAGAGCATGAGGCTGAAATGCAGACGAGAAAAAGCTGCTGGGGCTGCTTGTGTTTCATGATGACAGGATAGTAGGAATGTGTAATGTATGTAAGTTTGAGTGTGGCTGATCGACTGACAGTGAACTGTTATAAATGAAAAATAGAGACGTAAGAGATTAAAAAAAATAAACTTTTTCCAGAGCGGAGGAATCCTCCAGCTTGCTGCAATGTTTCAGATATTTGGTGCAACATTAATAAAGACATGTATTTATTATTTATGTGTTTATATACAGACATTTGACAGAAACCAGACCTGTTGTTGCTCCACTCATCTTCTTATTGTCCACAGAAGATTGTGCAAAGTTTTTCAATCCTGAAGACAAAATGTTTTTAATGATGGAGCCTTTGTAAACTACCAGTCTTTACTAATGCTGCAAAAATGTTTGAGATTGTTTTAAATGCATAATCACAAACAAGAGAGTACGGGTTTTAAATGTATAAAAATGTTATGTTTTCTTTGTTATTTTGCTTTTTTAACCCTTTAATGTCTGGCTTCCTGATAGCGGCTGCACGGGGACCGGCCTAGGATAACTTCAAAGTACAGCTTAAGCTAAACCTATCTTGCTTGTTAAACATTAAGATCTGTCTCAATGCACCTTATGTCTTCCTTTTCAACTGGTTAGTAGTTTGTGTCATTGCACCCTTAAAGTGTCCTTCTCTTTTGTCTCTGAACCCTGGAGCAGCAGTTCATGCCTGTCGAACATGTTGGTATGAAACAGTCTGTTTGGTTACGTTTTAGTTATGAAGAAAACACCTCATGCTGCGTTTTAAATAACTCAATCTTTTTTTTTTTTCCTCCTACAGGATAAAACTCTCGGCCTCCTGTGTGAAAGTCCTGCGTTGTTTTTCTCATCGAGCGCCCCCACCTGGCGGGCGGCCCAAACAGCCTCAGGTGAGACCTCCAAAATTTGCTCTCAGTTACTTTCTCAGTGTTTTTTAAAGTGAGACAAGAAGGATTCGGGGAAAATGAGGCTACAAATACAGCTCTCCACTCCCACACCAACACACCCCATACCTCCTCTTCCTCCTCCTCCTTATCCTCCTCTTCCTCGTCTGATTTGTCGCTGTGTCTTACGAACATGCCAACAAATCCTAATTGCACCCCACACTCTCCTTCCCAACGATGCCGCGCTTCGTGCCACCAAATTCCTTGTGTGCTAATTAGGCACGCAACCGTCGCGGATACACTCCTGACAGGTGCTGCTGGCCTGCCGGGGTCACACACACACACACACACACACACACACACACACACACACACAGAGAAAAAGAGAGAGAGCATTAAAAATAAATGGAGAGAGGAGAATAACGAGAGAGGCAAGACGTGTTAATTTCAAGCGTCCATCTGTTATTACATAAGCACTGCCAACAACGAGAACGGTGACAAGAGGAAGACGAGGAGCCCAAACAGTCAAAAACTAAAGTCCTCCTGCACAGAGGAAGAAAACCTCAGGGGACCGGCGAAGGAGAAATCAGATCGATCGAGCAAATCCAAACTTGAGGATTCATCCGAAGGTTTCGCTTCCAAAACAGTTTGAGCGCTTAACCTGGTGTTCCTTCCTCCAAATGTGGCAAAGATTTCAGCGCCTAAAAGTGTTTGCTGTTTTTTTAAGTTGGGCCTCCAGAGAGCAGAAATGTTTAAAAGTGAGTTTTTAACTTTTCCTTCCCACAAATAATTTTGTTAAAAAAAAGGCCCGTTTATAGAGTATTAGAAGAAGACTGTACAGAACTCATTTTGTTCAACTTCTCACATTAGAAAACTAAACTCTTCAAGGAGCTTCAACTTCATTTTATTAGTCAATGAATGTGCAACTTTTTACACATAAATAAATCATAAAGCCAGTCTATCCTGTGTAAATGTCTCTCTGAGTCCTGACTGTCTACAATGAGGGAGAAGCTCGAGTCCCGCTGGCTGTGTTGTTGTCAGAGCCGTGTTTACATGGACGGGACGGCCGGCTCCTCCCCTTGTGTATAAAAGCTGTTTTAGTCAAGAGAGAAGAAGAAGAACATACTCACTGATTATTTGGATGTTAGTAAGAGTTTTAGGATCACGCTCATTCTGTGTTAATTTATATTCAATGTGAAGCTACGAGCTAACATTAGCGTGCGTTGGAAACATATCTGTGATGTAAAAAGGCTTCAAGCTACACCCAGTTAGCTTAGTTTAGCGTAAAGACTGGAAGCAGGGGGAAACTGCTAGCCTGGCCTTGACGGGAGAAACACATCAGTCCACCAGCACCTCTGAAGAATAGCAAACAGAACCAGTGAAGAAATGCTTCGTAAATGATTGAACTGAGGCTCGTTTTAGTCGTCAGAAGGAGTAAAAACATTCCGAATGTTGATAAGGACGCTCTCCTCCTGCTGTGAGTCAGAGATATTTTCAGAAAGCTCGACATTTTCCAGCTCTGTCCAAATAATCCAGTGACAGTGAAGTCGTCCCGTTTGTCATCTGCCATAAACATTCCCCCGTCTGACGAACAATAGGACCAGATGAAAACAAAGAGCTCCGAGGAGTGACGAGCACCTCCAAGGTCCCGGCTGCTTGTTTGAGTCCTGGATCTTTTTTTTATTTTTCCACCGGCTGAGGTGGCGTTTGTTTCCTGTCAGCGCCGGTGAGCAAGACAGGAACTCGGAAAGACACCAGGAGAGGCTGCAGATGATTCTTTTCCAGGGCGGAGGGACGGGTCCTCGCTGCCAGAATACACAACATTGATCTTTGCAGCATTTCAACGCTCCTACACTGAGAGAGTTTGGACTAAAGGGAAGCAGAACAGCACAAAAAGCCCGTAGCTGCCACGGGAACTCACACTGTAATTGTTTGTTCAATTATTTTTCTTGGACGCTGCACCTGAACTCCTGAGACCAGAGCATAATTAGAGCCGCGCTGACGTCTCTTTAACCAGCGAGGTGGACTCAGATAAATACCTTTTTAGAGCTCAAGGTAACGAGCAAAGGGTGACAGCGAGGAGGCTCACAGGGAGCAATTTCCTATTTATTCCTCCTCTGATCTGACCTCTCTGCTGACAAGGTTCCCCGGCTTATTACCGATTCGTCCTGCGCTCTAATCGAGGCCCATTACCGATGTTCAGCCTGCTGGAAGTGCAGGCGAAGGATAGAGGAGGCAGATACTCGCTCTGAGCAGCGTCAACGCCCTCCCAGGTGTTTGGGAGGTTTGAAAGAAACTGTAGACGGTGTTTTCTGAATCTTTGTGCAAAGTGGAATGGAGAGGTGAGAAGGTGTTTCATAAGAACAACAGACAGTTCAAATCTTCTGCAGAGCTAAACACAGCTGATTACCGCTCTTTTATCAGCTTCACCTGGTTACACAAACAGGAGAGTCCATCAGAGAGAATCACTCCCATGATTCCCCGCAGCCTCAACATCATCTTTTCTTATTGTTTTGAGCGAGAGCCCCCTGGAGGCGGACTCTACATACTGTGTGTTTAAATGTCATAATGTCTTAAAACGCAAAAACAAATCAAATCAAAAAAACCTATTATCTCGTTCTGGCTTTTCAAACGAGAGCGTCTGCCGCTCTCTTCTGTTTCATGTCTCTGCAGTTGAAATAACTTTCTGCTTATTTGATAATAAGTCATGAAAAGGAGCAAACGGAACATTTCACATTTGCCTTTATTCTTTATTTTTTTATCAGGCAGCTAATTAAAACAATCGACACAGTATTCCTTGGTAGAAATCAGCATTAGTTGCAGCTTCTCTTTAGATCTTTTCAGCACATTTCAGCCGACTCTGTATTAAAAACAATCACGTCCTTTTATTTGGACGATCCGTCACATCCAGTTAGATTCTCCGTCACACTGATGTCTGTCTGCGTCTCTGAAAATGGCCGTTTACATTCAGTCATTGTGCTACAGCTTTACAGAGACGTCTGTCTGCAGCCACACAGCCGTCACCCCGACGTGCACACCTCTCTGTATGCCGTCCAACATGCATTATTCACCGCCAAATTAAAATACCACGCAGTGACAGAGTGAGAGTTGCATGTCAAGGCGTCCCAACAGCTGAAAACGTCCGTCACAGAGTTAGAACTTTTTTTTTCCCCCCATAGTTCCCCGGCAGTGCAGCTGCCTAAATGAGAGGGATTAAGTAAACTGTGCGCTCAGAGGACGAGCAGGCCCGGGATTAGAGCAGCGGCCGTGGACACAGAGAGCGTTCAAGCAGGAGCCGCAGCTTTTTAAAACAGAAGAGACGAAGAGGAGAGAGAGGAGGCAGCGGAGCGAGGCCCTCACAGGGGCCAACCACGGCTCCAACAAATACACTGACATGTGTAACAATGCGCACAAAACATGGAAAAGTGTGTCGGAGCAGAGAGGGGGAACACTGGCAGACACGGCGACAATCACAAATTCTTTCTTCTTCTTCTTCTCTTCTTCTTCTTCTTCTTCTCCTTCCAGCAGGCTCTGAGTCCTCCAGCTTCTGTCAAAACCTGAAACGCTGCAGGAAATAAAGGAAGCAAATCCTCTCCTTTAACACAAAAATATCACAACAGAAATCACCTCATGACACTTTACACAATTCCCAAAGCCCCAAAATGGATTTAAGACACGTTCAAGAGTCGAGAATGATGTTTATGAAGAGAAATCTGGAGCTTTGAGAGGGAGGAAATGAGCTTCTACTCCATTAATATTTACAGCCTATTGGTAGGATATGATCAAATAGAGGCTCTGTTCTATTCAATGTGATCTTTAAAGGGGGAAAAGCAGTTTTTCTGTTCATGTTGGTCTGTAACTGATGCAGATTCTTCAACCAGACCCAAAAAAACAGTTTAACTTCTACTCGTTCTCCTTTTTTGTAATTCTGACTGATGCAGAATCACCTGATGCAGACGGAGCTGAGTGTACCCACATTTCTTTTATTTCTGAGGTCTGTCTCAGAGCGGGAGAGAGAGAGAGAGAGAGAGGGAAAAAAAGAAAGAAAAAACCTGGGAAGCAGCAGAGATGAGAACAGGTGGTGAAACAGTGTGAGAAACACGAGGGAGAAAAACAACAGACACCTGCTCCTGAAACCCAACCTGGTTCCTCCATCACATCCCAGCAGCTGACGGAGACGACACACTCCACCTCCTGCACTAAATTATATCGCTGACAGTGAGAGAGGAAATGGAGTTTAGAAAGAGGACAGAGCTGAGCACACAAACACAACGTGATATTGTTCCCACTAGGGGTGTAACGATAAACCAAACTCACGATAAGAAGCGCATCATTTTGATTTATAATAGAAGTTATTCTTTTGACGTCCCTGGTACCAACTCTTTTGATCTTTTGAAACTGCTCCATTCAAAGATGGAGCGCAATAAAGAAGGTGTCTCATGTTTAAGGCGTCTCCTTTAGTGAGCATGCAGGGATCAAGCTGGACATTTGTTAAAATAATGACCCCCCCCCTGATGCATTTCTTCTTCTCTTGTCTTTTTGTCGCTGCAGGCAGAAGCACCAGGCCTCCTTCACGTCAGCTCCGTGTCATCGGAGCGACCGTGACGCCGCAGCAGAGCCAACGTGACGGGCTGCCTTTTTTTGTCTCGTGCAGTCATGACGTGGCGTCCGGCCGGAGGACGAGTGTAATCGCTCGGACAGGTGACACTTCTGAGGAAACCAGAAGATGACGGGGAGACGACTCGGATCGGGTGACCTGCACCTCACACGCCGCCTCCAGAACTGTGAGTGTGTGACGAGCTTCACTGTGACATTTAGGAAACAAAACAGCATCCTCAGATTGATTAACGTACAGAATTTATTTTACATCAATGACAGATGATCCAAGAATGAAGCAACATTTTTACAGTTTTAAGACAAATCCAACACTTCATTATGTTTTTAAATAACGAGAGAAGGTTCATTACTTTACTCGTCCACATGCATGCAGTCTGATTTAGGACTAAGTTACCCATCAGCCCCTCTGCTTCCTGCCTCCTCCTCTCATCCTCTCCCTCCTTTCACTGGGAATGTCATGTTTGCAACTTTAAGCTCGTTTTGGTGCAAGCTCTTTTGCACCAAAGGAACCATGCAGCAGATTTCAAATTAAAAATATGAATCGGTGGATAACAACAGAGACGTTAGAGTCTGAAAATCATCCAACAAATCTCCAAACTGCACAGGGTCTGGTCTTCGTTTAAGTTTCTTCCTTTTTTTTTAAACAATCACCGGCTTCCTCGTCTTGAATGCAACCTCGCAGAACAAAAAATAAACATGCAGGATTTAATCTCAGAAATATTATTTAATAAAAGGAATCAAAAGGATCCAGTACATACAGACAAAACAAATCCTTTGAAGCATCCTGAACACAAAGTACAAAACAGGATGTAACATGCATGTTAGACTATGAAACAGAGTCAACTTTAAAACACAGAGTGATACATTCCAGTTTTATTCCCTGCTTCGTGATCGGACAATGAGGACGATGGGAGCTGCAGAGAGTCCGTGTTAAAAATGCAGCACTGTGCCTTTTAATATTAAAACAGCGACTGGTCTTATTGACGTCAGATCACAGGGAGCAGACGCTGAGGCTCTCATAGTCACAAACGTTATTATCTTTTATTTAAAAGTGTCACTTTTCAGTTTCATATCAAACTAATAATGGATCATAGAAGATGGAAACATGCAGCAGAGGAAAAAATTGAGTATATAAAGTAAACAAGAAGTTAGTTTGGTTTATATTAAACACACTTCAGCATACTTCAGCAGATTATACAGAACAACCCTTTAATATCAGTGCATTAATATGATACTTATCATTGCTTTAAAAAGACTTTGATGGCTGACATTTTACATTTTAACTCTGACGCCATGTTTGAATGTTTCTGTCGCCTCTGAATCACTTCTTCTTTGCCGGTAGTTCTGGATGCATGTCTTCATCTTAGCTCGACTCTTTTCTCATTCTGTAGAAAAGTAAAAATAGATTTATTCTAACAGGTGGAGTCATTACATATCAATGCAAAACATAAAATTCATTCGATATATTTAAAACAAGATGAAGAAATGAGAGAAAATATCGCTGCTGCCCAGGTTGTGATCCTCTGAGGGGACTCGTCCTCAGTGATTTTGTGAATGACAACATTTTAGATTGAAACCTTTTTGCTCGTCTCTGATGCGGTGCAACGTGATTTTCTTTGACTTCTACTTTAACTCCTGACAGCAGGGTGGCGCCTCAAAGAGTTTTTTTTTTACATTTCCTTGACAAACTTCAGAGAAACTTTGTCGAGCTTTTTTAGTCATCTGCTGCCCAATTAGCGAACAAATTTACAAGAAAACAGTCAAAGTTTAAAGATGTGCATTCTTGAAGGTCGGTCATTAGTTGGAAATAAACGCTCTGTCCTCTCTTTTCGACTGTTTCAAAGAGCTGAAGCTTGTTTTTTTTCTGTCAAATCCCCTCGTTGTTTATTAGCCGGGGCGTCCTCAACGGTAGCTCAAGACTTTGCCCTGGTTTCTCGCTTTGGATCGCCCCTCTCTCTCTTTCCTCTAAAAAGACCCTCAGGCCCGAGAACAGATCCAGCTCGGTCTGAGCCCGAGGGAGGCCGATCCGGTCTTGTTTGTCAGAGCTTTCCATCGTTCGCTCTTCTTCCCTGCTTGACTGTTTTCTGTTTTGCTGCTGTCACTGACACACATTCACACACACTCTCACGCCGTATCTTCTCACACACACACTCTGCAGACGGAGCGATGGGCTCTGCGGGCCTGAGATTTTCCCCCGCTCTGTCTCTATCTGCTGCTAAATGTTGACAGACCAGTGAACCCTGCTGTCGGGCTGTGACAGGCGAGAAAAGAGGGAAACAAAGAGGCCTCTGGTGTGGTGGTTAGCCATCATGGCTGCTCGGCGAGCGCTCGGCCGCGCCCGGGTCGGCCGGCGAGCGGACTGTTAGGGAAATGGCTGAAGGGTTCTCGTGTTTCTGCAGCGTTCACATTAATGAGGGGATTGTCGGCATTTTGGAGCTGATGTGTGTGACGAGAAGAAAAAGCCTCAGAACGGAGCCTGAAAAGAAAACGCTCAGGACAAAGTGGACTTCAGCGAGACGCTGGAGGGACGCTTTGATTCGACCGAGCGCTGCAGTCACAAGTTTTCAACCTCTGTTTGCAGAAACATGAAGTTCTTTATCTTAGGTCGACACTCAAACGTCTCTGAGATTCACATGAAGGGACTCTGACATGACAGGCAGCTAGTGGTTCATTAAAAGAGGTTTTTCAGACCATGAGAAGGTTATTTACCAAGTTTTAAACACTGACCCTTCTTTAACAGTTTGGGAATTGCAGCTGTAGATTTCTTCAGCCTGCAGCAGAGAGACCGGCTTGAACGGCTGCAGAAGAATCCTTTAGAGTTTGTTGACTTTAAAAGCTTCTTGACACTCACAGGCTCAGATCGAGCATTCCCTGCTCATTGAAAACAATTAGAAAAAAGCTGCCTCTGGTTGACACAGGGCCTAAGTTTAAGTGTAAGTCTTAACTGGATCCAAAGAAAGGTGAGAATATGTCCAGCCTTTCTTCTGCTGATATTTATTACCAGAAAGAAAACGTCAATCAACATGTAGAAAAAATCCAAATAAACGTTGGAAAACTGCATGTGACAGAAAGCTGACTCTTGTAATATTTTTATTTAAGGTTGTTTTACACACAGTGTGAAGTATCAGTGTTTCTCATGTCGTTTAAATCTGGTAAAGAACTCTTGGAAGAAATTGAGTGAAAATATCTGTTGCTACCTGCAAGCCTTGTCTCCACATTTACACTCTTACAGTTTACAAATGTTTTGACATGTCGTAAGTCAGTGATTATGTGGAAGTTATTGTGTTTTTCCTCGTCTCCTTTTGCAGTTTCTGTCGTCAGAGCAGGACAGGGTCATAGTTTTGCACTCGCAGCTTGAGATAAAGAGCCCGGTGAACACGTGGTATTGCTTCATTTGAGCTTTATGAAGACTGAAGAGCTGAGACGGTTGGAAGTCTCCTCCTGAGAGATGGATAATGCCAGTTTCCAGGTGTTTTGGGTCTCTCTGAATCCTGTGAATTTGCAGGATGAAGTTCATACGGACCAATCAAATCAGCGCGTTTCAAACAGAAATCTCAGCAGTCTCTTAACGTGTCACAGCGATCACCTCTGCTCGTTTGATTTGCTTCCCCTGTGTCTTTTTTTTCCCCCTCTTCACCTCCTGTGGGACCAGCGTTTGTCGAGCGACGTTTCCTCCTGACGAGCCCAGCGGGTCACGTCCGAGTGTGACGGTCCATAAAGACACACAGACTCAAAAGGTGAGGGCGCACAAAGAGGTGAGGTCCTGACCGAGCTGCGACGGTGACAGCGTCTTCCTCTCGGACGCGTCAGAGGAACAATGGAGGCCGAGCTCGGAGGAAGTCGCTGAGCAAGTTCAAGAGGGAGTATATATGGATGATGACAGATGAAAATGTGTCACATACCTCCGTGCTGTAGCTCTGTGACAGCGACACCGACCACGGAGAACAAAGAGAGAAAAGTCACAGAGTCACCACTTATTCTGTTAAAACAGTGACACAACATTTTCTTTTTAGAAGCTGTTGCATGTAGCCTAAAGTAGCAAGTAGCGTTTGCTTTTAAATGTCAGTCATTGTAACGGGATTATTGAATCTTGAAGTAACTAGTTAGCGTGAATAGTAGTGGTATTAGAAGTTAGTTAATAGTAACCTCTTCTCAGTGACTCCTCGCCTTACAACAAAGGGACTCCTGGTCAGTTTCTAACATCTTATTACTCTCCCGGTGTAACTTGTTTTGTCCTGTTGTTAAAGCCGGTGATTAGAGGAGGGAAAGACTCCTGACCCTGTTTGATCTGAACTCAGCCTTCAGTCCCTCTCCATGTAAAAAAAAAAAAAACTCCTCCGTGTCTTTAGATAGCTTTCACACCGCTGATTAAACCAAAGCTGAACTCATCGTTTCCTGGAGGAAGCTGCTTTCTCTCCTCTTCCTCCGCTTGTTTTCTCTCTCTCTCTCTCTCTCCATCTCAGGGAATTCACTTCACTTTAATTGTTTGACAGTCTTTTCCTGCCTTTATGCCACGGCCGCAGAAGGTGCCGGGGATTTTTTTCCTCCTTTTTTTGAGGCATTAATAACATCCCGCTCGACTGATTCCCCGGGGCACAACCTCATTATGGCTTATAGGCAGCAAAAATAAACTGTCTGCAGCGCCTGGCAGCTCTTTTTTTTTTTTTTTTCTTCCTTTTTCACACAGAAACGAGGAGCTGGTGTAAAGTGGCTGCTTATAAAACAGGCTAACTAAAACACATGTCCAGGCTGTTATCTGTGCGCCTGACAGGAGGTGAAGTGAAGGCTGCTGTTGACGGTGGTCTGCACTGGGGGGCAGCACTGTGGGGGAGATCACACAGAGACCGTCAGGAGGGATCTCAGAGGGAAGCGTGGGGAAAGACACTTTGCTTACGTCCCTCACTCTTTAATAAACATAAATAACAATGTCCACTTCATTACAGATTCATATCTGCTGTAAATGTATTAAGAAGCAGATCAAATCATTTAGAGCCCCAAATAAGAGCTAAACCTTCCTAACAAGCATTGAAAATGTAACTTTTATCACCAACTTTAACACACTTGAACATTTTGTTGTTTTTGTGGGCGGAGCCTCAACCCGACATTCCACCAGATGCGTGTGCTCCCCGACTGGAGCTGATAGGTTTTAACTTTATTCAGTGTGTGT